GTTTTTGTTGTCGTTTTGGGTTTTCTTTTTCTTTTCTTTTTTTTTTTGTTTTTTGTTTTTTGTTTTTTGTTTTTTGCCAAAGTAGGAGAACAGATTCAGGGGAACAGTTATTTCACTGACTATCAAATCTTCCATTTCAACCTTACCTTTACTTCTACTTCAGAGGCATTTGGTACTGCCAGTTCCTGAATCTTTTGGAGGGTTGAATAGTACAAATCAGAATTTCCCCTTTTATTGCCAAAGATGACTAGAAATTCATCTTTTTTGTATGTGTTAAGACATTTTCTCACTTTCCTAGTTTCTAAATGTTTTGTTACCTATTCTCTTTGTAGTGGGAATTTTACCTTTTGTCTTAAATTTTTTCTTTTTTTCTTTTCTGTCATTTTGATGGCGTTTGGGGAGAAAAAAAAGGTAAATTTGGTCATGATCTTCAACCAGAAGTGGATTACATATGTATGTAATACCATATATCGCTTTAAAATTTTGCCTAGTAATGGTCATAATAACAAAGTAAGATTTATAGTCTTCTTGAGAAGCTGATGGTAAGTTTGACTAATGGTAGGTAGGGGTTGTGCCAGGGTAGTCATCTTTTTTTTAGTGATACTGGGGTTTGAACTCAGGTTTTTACTTGGGTAAGGCAGGTGCTCTACCACTTGAACACCACTGCCAGCCTTTTTTTCCGTTGGGTATTGAATTACTTGCTTGGGCTGGCTTTGAACTGCAATCCTCCTCATCTCTGCCTCCTGAGAAGTATCTAGGGTTATAGGGGTGAGCTACTGGCACCCAGCATGTCTTGCTTTCTTGTCCCCAAGCTTTCTTAACTTTTCTTGTGCTGACATCTCCCCTTAGTGTTTGTCATTCAAGCACTTCATCCCTTGACTTCTAGGACATCTTATTTTCTTCATCTCATCCAAATGGGATCATGTCCTCTTGAGTGCTTAGGGCTGCATAATCCAAAGCAGTAGCCGATAGCCACATGTGGTTGAGCACTTGAAATGTGACCATTCCAAATTAAGATTTCTGTAAATATGAAATGTATGTATTTTCTTTTTTTAAAATATAAAAGCTTAAACGTTTTTTCCATGTTGAAACATTTGGGGTATGCATTGAGTTGAATAAAATGTATGTAAATTAATCCAACCTGTTTTCCTTTTATAATTTCGTTTACTTTGAGTATTAGAAGATTGAAAATTACTTATTTTTAATTCACTTTACATACTTGATTTTATCAGGAGGCAGAAATTGTCCCTTATTTTAGTTACCATTTCCTTTGTTAGTGCCCCACCTAGGTTGTGAGGGTTTTTTTGTTTTTGGGGGGGTTTTGTGGGGGGGTTATGCTGAGGATCGAGCCCAAAATCTTATGCATGCTAGGTAAGTGTTCTACCACTGAGCTAATACCCTTAATACCCTCTTTGAAGGTTTCCATCTTCTGGTAGTGCCTGGTATCTAATAGGTGCCTAGCAAATAGTTAACTGACCCAAAATGACTAAATCAGAGTTTTCTTTAGCCATAACTTGTGTCTTTGAGTTCTTTCTTCTGAGGATTAGATAAGTAAATTAATTTTCAGTATATCACATTACAGTGTTCAGACACTATAACAATAACTGTTATTTTTTTTAAAAGGTGAAATTCTTGCAGGTCTGGTGATGTACTTCTGTAATCCCAGCACTTGAAAGGCACAGGCAGGAGGGTAGAGAGTTTAAGGCCTGCCTAGGCTATATAGCGAAAAAAAAAGAAAGAAAAATAATTGAAACCAATTAAACTGAACTTCTAAGACAACAGCAGTTCTCCTTTCCTATACATATTTTTAAGATACTTAAAAAAATAAAAGTGCTCCCTGTGTTGTATTTTATGTCCCTGTATCTTCATGTCATTTCGTTTTCCTGTTGCATTGCTCTGTTTTTCTGTTCTTGTACCAGTATTTGAAGGGTTTCTGTTCAAGTATTGTGACTTTGTATTGTATCTATGTACTTAATAAACTTTAAAATAACTTTACACTTACAAAAAAATTGTAAAAAGTAGTATAGTAATGACAGTTATATGTCTTTGCTGTTAATTCCTTTTTTTTTTGGTAGAACTGGGGTTTACAAACTTTGTGCTTGCAAAGCAGATGTTCTACTCCTTGAGCCACACCTCCAGTCCATTTTGGTTTGGTTCTTTTGGAGATGATGTCTTGTGAACTATTTGCCTGGGGTGGCCTCAAACCACAATCCTCCTGATCTCAGCTTCCCAAGTGGCTAGGACTACAGGTGTGAGCCACCAACATTTGACTAATTTTCACATCTTTTAACTTTTTCTTTTCCTAAAAGCATTGGCCATGACCTCCAAATTGTTCTATAGTAATTTAGGCTAATTATCCCTTATCTGAAATGCTTGGAACCAGAAGTGTTTCATACTTGGGAATATTTGTGCAGACTCTACCTATTGAGCATCCCTAATTCAAAAATCCCACATCCAGAATGCTCTGAAATCTGAAACTTTTTGAGTGTACAGTTTCGATTTTGTATTTTTGGATTCGGGCTGCTCAACATGTATTAGGCACAACTGCCTTGTTTCTTAAAAAAAATGATTCTAAAATTTCCCTATTGCTGAAGATTTTTTTTTTTTTGCCGGGGGGAGGGGGTGTTTGTGATGTTTATCAAACTAAGGAAGATACGTTCTCTCTCTCTTTCTGCAGCACTGGTGTTTGAACTGAAGGCTTCATGCTTGCTAGGCAGGTGCTCTACTGCTTGAGCCACTCCTCAGCCCAGGAAGGTCCACTGTAACCCTTGTTTGCAAACAGTTTTTAAAATTTTAAAATTCTTTAGTTTTATTAACTCCTTTTTCTGTAGCGAGTATGATAATTTCCTAGCTACTTTTATTTTTTTTTCTAATTGATTTGAATAATAATGGGAGATATTTTGTTACAAGTCAAATTTTGGCCCCAGCAGTTGACAGATCTCTTTTGGAGCTGGGAAACTCTACTAAAGGAAGATAAAATCATCCCCTCCAGGTTAATTCAGTTATTGAAGAATCACAGACCAAAGATAAAGGAAGCAGCTTGCTCTGTAGGGATTTTCTTTCTTTCTTTGTTTTTAATTAAAAAATTTTTTTCTTTATTCATATATTCATATGTGCTTACATTGTTTGGGTCAGTTCTCCTCCCTGCCTCGCCCCCTTTCCCCCCTAGCTGTTTTTAAAGTTAAATTTGAAGTACAAAAATACTTAGAAGATGGACACTTACTGTCACAATTTGGCTTTTATATTTGGAAAACCTGCCCATGTGTTAAGGAGGTAGCTTGTTATTTTAAGGATTAGAAAGGGTATATGAGCACATATCTCTGTTTTAGGGAAGAAACTAAACTGTTCAGGAAGAGTTGAAACATTACATAAAGATGTTATAAACATGATTATCTTCTCAAGTAGAAGGTACTTAAGTAGATGTATTAGTTATCTTTCTTGTCCTTGTGACAAACAATTTAATGAAGGAGTTACTTAACTTTGCTGACAGTTTCAGTGGGTTCAAGTCCGTGGTCCCTTGGCTCCATGGACTATATGGTAGCAGGAATATGCAGTGGAAGGAGGTTTTTCACCATTACCTCATGGTGGATTGGACGTAGTAGAAAGGGAGAGTAAGGATTCAGGGACAAAATACTCCCAAGGGCCCATCTCCAAAGACCTATTTCTCTGGCTAGACCCCCATCTCTTAAAGTTTCCAAAACCTCCCGAAAATAGCAACACCAGCTGGGTATCAAGCCTTCAAAACATGAGCCTTGGGAACCATTTCATATTCAAACCAACAGTAGGCCTCTCACATTTCAGGTTGGCTCTCTCCTTATACTCAGAGGCAAAACAATTTTGGGACTGTATTTATTACATTAAAACAAAATTAAAAGATTTTTATGTGTATGTCTAAGGAATGTCTTAATTTGTATCTACTGGTTACATTTATAATGAATTATAATCTGTGGCTCTTCTAAATAGGACAGAATTTTAAGAACTAGTATGTAAGCCCTGGATGTGGTGGCCCATGCATCCCAATACTCTGGAAACTGAGGCAGGAGGATTGTAAGTTCAAGGGCAGCTGAGCTATATAGGGAAACTCTGTAACAAAAACACCAAAAAGCAAAAGTGTAGAAAGAAACTGCAAATACTGATTCTCTTTAAATTTCTCACTAAGCAGTTATGTTTATGTGGTCCTATCATCTGATGAATTGTGACAGTGCTTTCTGCTTCACAGGCTTTGGTGAGGATTAGATGTGCACATGCAGTTGCTAGCATGTAGAAAAGTTAAACTCTGTGTGACCAGAAGACAGTCTTTTTGTACTTTACACGACAGCAGCATATTCAGAATACAGATGTTCCTCAATTTATGATGGGTTACGTACTAGTAAACCTGTCTTAAGTTGAAAATGAACTTAATACAACTCTACCCTACGAAATGTCATAACTTAGTCTAGCTTACCTTAAGTGTGCTTAGAATATTTACGTTAGCCTACACTTTGGCACAGTAACCTAACAGAAGCCTACTTCATGAGAAAGTGTTGACTATTGCATATAATTTAATTGAGTATCTGTATCGGAAAACTGCTGGCAGCACAGTGTTGCTGTATGAGTCTTGGTTGTTTACTCCCTATCATGGCTGACTGGGAGTGCTCTGAGTGTGTCATGCTGCTGTGGGTCAGTAACCTCAGAAAAGTAGCAACTCAAAATTGGAAGTACAGTTTCTACTGAATGTGTATTGATTTATAGCACCATGTGAAGTTAAAAAAATCATAAATTGGATTGGATACTGTGTGACTCTGTAGATCCTATTGAATTGCAAAATTTGGTATTTTTCTTCTAGCATTTTCTTGTTTTCCTTGTAAATTTATATCATGTGGTTAAGTTTCTTTGAACTGCTAGATACCTTAAGATTAAAATTAAAGCCTTAATGTTTTGTTTCTTCAACTAGAAGCTCTTAAAACTTGGCAAGCACTGCATGTTCTCATTTCCTTGTCTTTGTGTATATTATCTTGTAGCACACCTCACATGGAGATGGGAGGCAAGAAGTTACCTCCCGCACTGGGCGCTCTGGAGCTCGGTGTAGAAACTCCATAGCTTCCTGTGCAGATGAACAACCTCACATCGGAAACTACAGACTGTTGAAAACAATCGGCAAGGGGAACTTTGCAAAAGTGAAATTGGCAAGACACATCCTTACAGGCAGAGAGGTAAATATTTGTGTTTATTTCTGTTGTAGTGCTTGTCATGTTGATTTCGGTGAAAAGAGGAAAAGAATGTATGTATTTGGGGTTATTTCTAAACTAACTGAATTTTTTAAAATAGCATGACACATGATAGTTACCTGGGATTTCTTTTGCTTTTCCATTACATTGTATTGGAATTGTCTTGTCTCCCCCTGTCTGAAAGGTGTCTGTTGTGGTCTTAATTATTATTTGTTAAGTGATTATAATAATATGATTGAGGGAAACTTTTAAAATGAATGTTCTCCTAATGCCACACTCTCTTGATTTATGTGCCAACACTACATGACATGTATGCTGTGGCATTGATGTCCACAGCTTACCAGGCCCAGGGCTGCTGCTGCAGGAAAAAGTATCCTGTTTACTACCATGTGCCCTATGTATTCCTGGTTTTGTGTGTGCTGCGACTTGAAGAAGGTTGGGAAACATTGATCTGTACTGGAATCTTACAGTAGCAACCAGAGATTCCTTGTGGAGATGCCTGGATTGTTTTTGGAGTCTGAAAGTAGGCAGAGCCATCCCACTTTTTGTGGTTGCTTTTGTTTTTTTGGTGGCGTTGGGGTTTGAACTCAGGGTCTTGAACTCAGCGCTTGCAAGGGAGGCGCTCTATTACTTGAGGCACTCTACCAGCCCATTTTTGTGTTGGGTATTTTCCAGATAGAGTCTTGAGAACTATTTGCCCTGGGTCAGCTTTGAACCACGATCCTCCTGATCTCTGTCTCCCAAGTAGCTAAAATTACAGGCATGAGCTACCCAGCCAACCAAAGCTTTTTTTTTTTTTTTTTTGGCAGTACTGGGGTTTGGACTCAGGACCTATACCTTGAGCCACTCCACCAGCTCTTTGTGGTGTGTGTATGTGTGATGGGTATTTTTGAGATAGGGTCTCTCAAACTATTTTCCCAGCCTGGCTTCAAACCGAGATTTTCCTGATCTCTGCCTCCTGAGTTGCTAGGGTTGCAGGCATGAGCCACCAGTGTCCAGCATTGACCAAAGTTTTTTTAAGATAAGAAATAAAAGCCTTGGCTGGAGGCTCAAGTGGTGGAGTGTCTGCCTAGGAAGCACTAAGTCTCGTTCAAGCCCCACTTCCCACTTCCAAAAAAAAAAAAAAGAAAACAGGAATAGAGTCTCTAAGTTAGTTCCCACTAATCTTCCAATCCTTTGTGGTTACTCAACCCTGTCCTCTGGAGTCTAGCCTACCGTGTTTACTTACTAGTAGGTTTTCCAAAGTGCTTGCCTATGACCTCCATAGTGGCATATTTTAAAAATTTTCTCAGGTTTTAAAAACTTTGAATCATTTTACTCTTGGTTTTTTCCCCCTGTTGAAGGTATGACTCAGAATCCTATATGTGAACATTATAGATACTTGTTACGTAGAAAGTTTGAAATTTCCCTCTTTAAATATGATCATTTTTAGCAATTTGGTATATATTCCAGTTTTTAATATAGACATTAATTTTTTATTTAATAAAAAGAGACACATACAGGACACTGTGGTGATGTATCCTGGCCACGTTATCTGGGTCTTGTCACCTATAGATCTCACATTCAGTTAAAGGTTGCATCATCGTTTTCAGTGTACAGTGGCACCATAGTAAGGATAGGGGTTGCTTGGGTTTTTTTGTTTTTTGTTTGTTTTTGCTGTTACAAACAGATCTGTAGTAAACAGTCCTTCATTTTGTGTGCTTTTGTTAAGAATGTTACTGTAAGACAAAGTTATAAAAATGAAAGTCCTAGATTAAAGTGGGTGAATATTTAACATTATAACAGATATTGCTAAATCAGTTTAAAAGAAAACCAAAAAGCTGGTACCTACTTTTTATCCTACCAATGCAAATGTTTGTCCATTTTCATACACCCTTGCTATAGTGTATAGACACCTTTTGTCTTATCATCTTAGTCCTCTTTTGCCACTACAGCAAAATATCAGATGATATTTTATAAAGAAAAAAGAGTTGGGCATGCCTTTAAGTGGTAGAGCACCTATTTGTCTAGCAAGCTAGAGGCCCTGAGTTCAAACCCCAGTAGTAACAAAAAACAGAACAGAAAAAAAATTTCTCGACAGTTCTGGAAGCTGAGAAGTCCAAGATGAAAGGACTGCATTCCTCCTTTTATATTGAACCCCTCTCCTGTGATGACAGCTGAATCTGTTCTCTTCATTGTTTTGGCCTAAAGGCAGTTAAATTTCAGCATGGGTTTGAGAGGGAACAAACATTTAAACCATAACTGATGGGCAAAAGTAATAAAAACAAAGTTGCTTTTCCCTGATAATTACTTAGATGTATGATATTTTCATCATTTATAGTTTTCAGTGACACTGGGGTTTGAACTCAGTGCTTTGCAGCCCATCTCAAGCCTCTAAGCTATGCCTCAAGCCTCTGATTCTTTTTTTTCCCCCAGTACTGGGGTTTGAACTCAGGGCCTTGTGCTTACTAGGCAGGTTTTCTACCCCTTGAGCCATGCCTCCAGCCTTGACTCATTTTTTAAATGTTTCCTGATTACATCCTTTATCCATTTTTTTATGTTCATAATTAAAATCTTACATTTCAGTCTGATCTATTGTATAGTTTATTTTTTTTTTTTTCTTTTTGTAGATTGGTACCACTTTAAACTGTTTATGATGCCTTTCGTTTTGTTTTTGAGACAAGGCCTCATTATGTAGCTCAAGCTGCCTGCATCACTGTATAGCCTAGGCTGGCTTGCAACTCACCATCATCCTGCCTCTAACTTCTGAGTGTTTGGGATTATAGGTAGATCCCATTTTGCCTGGCTTTTGGTGTCTTTTGCTTTGGAGAAGTTTTAAGTTTTTATGTAGCAAATTATTTCCATCTTTTTCTTTTTTTTGGTTGAGGGGGTGGTATCTTGCTGTTGGTGTGGTTAAGTCACCCTCCCTCTTTCTTTTTTCTTTTTTTTTTTTTTTTTGGCAGTACTGGGGTTTTGATCTTAGGGCCTCACACTTGCTAGGCAGGTTCTCCCCTGCTTGAGTCACTTCTCCAATCCTTTTTCCTCTGGTTATTTTGGAGGACTTTCGGTGCTGTTTGAGTTTGTTTTTGGCAGTATTAGGGTTTGAACTGAGGGCCTCACAGTTTCTAGGCAGGTGTTCTACCACTTGAGCCGCTCCACCAGCCCTTTCTTGTGTTGGGTTTTTTTCAAGGTAGGGTCTCTCAAACTATTTGTCTGGAACCTCAAACCATGACAATCCTCCTGACTGATCTCTACCTCCCAAGTAGCTAGGATTACAGGGGTGAGGCACTGGCACCTGGCTTAGTTTGATTTTTTGAGACAGAATCTTTGTAGCCCAGGGTGTAGTTGAACTCAAGCCCTTCCCTCCTCTGCTTCCCAAGTGCTGGGATTATAGGTATGTGTAACCATGCCTAGCTAAAATTACACATATTTTTTATTTTGGTGTTCAATTCTATGAAATTTAGCATATGTATAGATATGTTGCCATCATCGTAACATACTCCAAAAAATTCCTCCACACTGGCCCTTCATAGCTGCCCCTTCCCTGCCATAACCTCCAGTAACCACCTGTCTATTCTCTATCCCCATAGTGGTATTTTTTTTTTTAATATGGAGATGGGATCATACAGTATGTGATCCCATATGTGATGGGATCACATTCTCACTCAGCATCATGTCTTTGAAATTCATGTTGCTGGTTGTATATTTGGATAGTTCCTTCTTATTGCTGAGAATTCTGTTGTATGGCTGGACCACAGTTTGTTTCGACTCCCCCACTGAGGTACATTTGAGTTTCCAGGACTTGGCAGTTATGAGTAGAACCACTCTAAGCATTTTTAAGGGGGCCAGGGATTCTGGGGATCAATCTCCAGAGTCTTGTGCATGCTAGACAAGCATTCTACCACTTGAGCTCTATCCCCAGCCCTTTTGTTTTTATTTTGTTTGTGAGACAGTTTTGCCCCCACCTTTGCCCAGGCTGGCCTCAAACTCATTAACCTCCTGCCTCTGCCTTGCAGGTAGCTGGAAGTATAGGCCATCATGCCTGAGATTGGGCTACCATGACTGACCTTATTTTTGTTATATAATTTGTAAAAATTTTGTTAAGGATTAATAGTTGTCTTTTTTTTTTTAAACTTCCTTAGTTTCTATTATTTACTGCAAATTGATCCAAATATCTTGGAGTATCTATCCATAGTGTGTAATATATTAGTTTAAGAGAGAATTAATAGAGTCTGGGTATAGTGTATGCCTGTTATCCTAGCACCCATGAAGCAGGAGGATGTTAGTTCAAGGCCAGCCTGAGCTACATAGTGAGACCCTGTCTAAAAACCAAAAAGTAGAAATTAGGGACAGCAAGATAGGTCTTTCTAAGGCATAGAAAAATAGGATGGTTGCTACAAAGCGATGTTTCTGTGCTAATGGGAATAATCTTAACAAAAAGGGGGGCAGTGGTATCATGAAGAGATAGTGGGGGGGCGGTGAAAGGGGATGGTGGAGGCATTGGTCTTAGATAACAGGGACAGTCCTTCCATAGAAACAGGAGGATGGCAAGAGGTCTGATTTAGGTGCAGGTAAGGGGTTCCTTATGCTGGTGGGAGCTTGTAGAAATTATTTTCTGAGTGCAGGTTTTTCTTTCTCTCTCTTTTTTTTTTTTTTTTTTTTGTAAAATATAAAACCAGATCATCAGCTAAGACTGTGAGTTTTGATGAAATAGCATTAGAGATCCAAGATGGGTAAAATAATTACCAAACAGAAGAGTGAATACACTAGAGAAATACAGTATATTGTCAGGCAGCCTCCAGGCTTCCCTGAGGTTGGTGACCATGGATGAAAGTTAGCAGAGTTAGCTGTGTGCATGTCATTCTCCAGACACAGGCAGTTGACTGACTGTAGACAGGACAGTTGCAGAGTTGTGATTTTGTCACATAAAAATGAGAAATGGCCAGGCACCGGTAGCTCATACCTGTAATCTTAGCTATTCAGGAGGCAGAGATTAGGAGGATTGC